GGGGGAACTAGCCTGTGTGATATTGTTTGATTTGCAGGTGTTGTTAGTTCAACATTGAACTATAATGAGCTGAATAATGACACTGTTGTCTTTTGTGGAGCTGCTTTACAGCTGAACATTAACACTGTTATTTTCCAGTTTATTACTGATGAGCTTCTTTAAAACAATCTGCATTGTATAAAGTGCTATATAAATCAATGTGACTTGACAAAAGTGGGGACACAGGTGTGAAATTATATAAAAAGGTATGGGAAAAGTTGTGGGATAGGTTTTATCCTATGTCTCAAGAATCTGCAAGTTTTTCCTTAAATGTCTGTTTTGCACAAATTAAATCTATAACGCGTGATGTTGCCATTGTACACAAGTAGGATTCTGTTCTGTTTGCGGCTGGATTTTGAATGGATGGCTCCTGATTCCTAAATAACCACAGAAAGCATTCAGGCCTGAGTTATTCAACACATTCCTGTGGCTGAGACATTAACGAACAATACATTTCCTCTCCCAAACAACAAAATATAATTTTGCTTATCTAATAAAAAAGCTGTGAGTAGTAAGTAAAAGCTGTCTAAATCAGCTGCTGTCTGCAAGTTTATACACAATAAACATTTTGCTTATTGGATAATTTCTGGGGACTTAACAGCTTCTGACCTTTGACCTTATATCATAGCATTGGCACGTATTACACATTATTACATAGTACGCATTATAGCATACTACCCTTACCACAGAAATATATGATAAAAAAATATATATAATATGCAGTTCCAAATACTGTCTATGGTCTTTTTAGACATCGTATGCACATTTCAGAATCTCGCCAGTAGCACATCCGGGTACTTTTTGCCTACTAATTCAGACATACTGTTCTTTTCGCTTAATATATAGAAGGGAAAGTATGTGATTTTGAATGCAACCTATGTCTTGTAGGGTTAAATAGGTGTCATACAATGGCTACATAGAAGCAAAGCAATTCGAGATTGATTTGCAGTATGTTCTGTGCTTGTGTGCATACAGTGAGGTTCAGAAAAGGGCTTTAGTGTGTATTTGTGTGCCTTGTTTTAATGAGGCCTTGCTGAGGGCTATTGTCTGTAGTGTGGTTGTCACCCAGAGGACTTAACTGAGATAAGAACAAACCAGTGTGCCTGTGTCTGTGCTGATATCTTTTCCCGTGACTCCTTTGATCCACAAACAGACACCGAGTGTTTTCTGTGTTCAAGTTTATGAAATGATATGAAGGATTTAAGAAGTGTGTGATTTTTCCCAAAAGATCACATGATCAGCATGATCTTTGACTATTCTAACAAAATCTTGGGTTACATCCGTTGGTAATTTCTGGAATCTTACACAGCTTCCTGAATTTGAGTGGATGGTTGGTCACAAACAGGATGCAGATGATAAGTAAAAATGAACAATACTTTTTAAAAAAGGAAAACAATGTTAATTTATAGATGTGGTATAGTTTGAATTGTATCCAGTATTCTGGTATAACCCCCCCTGCCTCCCACACACATAGACCGCAGAGGATTTGTGGTAGTCGCTCAAAGTTTCCATGTGGAAAACTACTGCATGTAAAAGTCAAATGCACATCTTCTTAGAGAGTCAGAGGAAACATGGGTGTGGTTGTGACTCAGAGATGTATTACTGAAGTTCCTGAAGTTAAATATATACATACTATTAAAAAGGAATGAAACTAATACTTTTTAGTTTTTTCTAATTGTTTTAGGCTGGCAGAGGCACAGTGAAGGCCCATGGTGGATTCAATGCTAACAATGACGCTGAAGTTCTCTTCAAGGCCATGAAAGGACTCGGTGAGTTTGACAAATGTATTAAATGTGTAACTGCAAATTAGAATCTATTATGCTGTAGAATTGCAGAGATCTTACACATTTAGTGTGACTAATTTATTATTATTTGGATGATCAAGGCTGTGTATGGATGCATTAGTGTTTATACATTTTGCTTGTTTAATTAATTTCATTCTCATGAATGAATAACTTGAGAATATTGCATCTGGGTATAAGAGATGGATATCAGTCTACTCATTATGTAATGGTCATCAACATTCATTTTTTATTTTTTTTTCAGGCACCGATGAGGATGCTATTCTCCAGCTGCTGATAGCACGTAGTAATGCACAGCGCCAAGAAATCAAGGCTGCATTCAAAACTCTGCATGGAAATGTAATCTCATCAACATCAACATGTTTTATTTGAATTTGTGCAGGATACATAAAACAATAATAAAAAAAAAAATCTTTAAAAGATGCATTCTTTACTTTTTTTTCTCTTCATCTCTGTTTAGGATTTGGTGGATAATTTGAAGTCAGAGCTGGGTGGGAAGTTTGAGAGTCTGATCGTAGCTCTGATGACTCCTCCCATCATGTATGATGTCACATGTCTGCGGGATGCTATTAAGGTACACACCAATAACTAGGGCTGTCAATCATTTTTAACAATAAAAAAATGAATATTCACGATGGTAGTGAAATATAAATTTCATGATGTTTTATAGACAGATTGCTGTATATCTGTACCTTTGCATTTGTTGCCTTAGGGTGCAGGCACAGATGAGAAAGGGCTGATTGAGATCTTGGCATCAAGGTTACCTAATGAAGTCAATGAGATCAAAAGTTTATACAAGCGAGGTAACTGTGTTTGTGCATTATAAGTCTTTTACTTAGTATTCTAATTCTTAGTTAGTGCCAGTAAAGCAATGTGTTGAATGATGCTCTCTTCAATGTTAATGATATCTGTATGTATGTTATAGAGCATAATGATGATCTGGAGAAAGATGTGACTGGTGACACTGGAGGTAATTTCAGTAGGATGCTGGTTGTTTTGCTACAAGTACGTAGTCCATTAACAATCTTTATAAACATAAAAATACAAGATTTAAATAAACAATAATGTATCTGTGTATGTTAATAGCACTGGAAATTTCAATCCTCTGCAAAAAGGACCTAAGATTAAGTGTGGATGTTTTGTCATTTTAGTTGCATTACTATTCATTTATTTGATATTATATGATTTTGCTATAGGCCAGCAGACAGCAGGGTATACAAGAGGACCTCATCCAAAGCGATGCCCAGGTAAGTTTGTATATGTAAGTTCACATCAAATCCAATGCAACTGAATGTTTGCAAATAAGTTTTTAGACTAAAACTGGTCATTTTCTTTCTTTGAAAAAACGTTTGGATGTTAAATAAAAAGTTCTTGATGTAAAACGTTGAAATGCTTCCATCTAGTGCTTGTGGTGTGTAATATCAGTCAGTTTAAAAACTGTTTGTGGTGTAGGCTCTGCTTGCAGCAGGAGAACAGAAGTATGGAACCGATGAAGGCCAGTTCATCACTATACTGGGAAACCGTAGTAATGCTCACCTTAGGAGAGGTTAGTTTGACACATGCATGTAGGTAATGAAATTGGTATTTTTGTTTCTATATATTCACTTGTTTTCTGTTAATGGTTTTTCTGCAGTTTTTGAGGAGTATAGAAAGCTCTCAGGGTATGAAATAGAGGAGAGCATCCAGAGAGAGACATCAGGAACCCTCCAAGAAGTACTGCTGGCCGTGGGTAAGACAGAGACACAGACACACACACACACACACACACACACACACACACACACACACACACAAACACAGAGACAGACACACAGACACTCACACACAGACACTCAGACACTCACACATACAGACACACACACACACACATATATCTCTCTATCAGTTAGATATGGTTAATTCTTCAATCAAGTTCTTATTAGAGTCCTTATTTTAGTAATTTTTATAATTTTATTATAGATGGAAGTTAAAAAGTATGGCAAAGCAGAGAAATTCTTTGAAATCATATTAGGACAGGGAGTAGTTTTTATAATTGAAGAATCACCCATATGCAGGTTTTTGTCTCTTAATACACTCTTTTCTCTGCCTCCTCAGTGAAGTGTGCTCGCAGTGTGCCGGGTTATTTTGCCGAGAGCCTTTACAATGCCATGAAGGTGAAGTTTTTAATATTTGTATTTTCCATTTTAATTTTAATTAAAGTTTTAATAATTGTGTTGTGTTTAGTTTTTATTTTTTTAATATGTCTATAAAGGTTTTGTTAATTTGAGTTATTTTAGTACATGAAGTTTTAAACTAAATGAAAGTGAGAAGTAAATAAAATAAGTTTAACTTTTTTAACTTTTTAATTTTATTTCAGTTAACGTTTACTTTATTTCAAATAACAAAATGTTTTTATTGTTGTTATTATTATTTTAGTTCTGCAAAGTACTTACCTGTTGCTTTATTTCTACTTTCCTCCAGCAGGGGGCAGGCACTGATGACCAGAAACTGATCAGGATCATGGTTTCCCGCAGTGAGGTGGACATGATGGATATACGCGCTGAATTCCGCAAGAGGTTTGCAACCTCTCTGCACAAAACGATTCAGGTATACTCATGCTCAGTATTTAGCGATTAACACCTTATACATTTTCTTTGTTTGTCCATATCAGCAAAACTGTAACCTTCTGTCATCTTTCTCTTAAATGTTTTTCCGTTACTGCAGGGTGATACCTCTGGTGACTACCGTAAAGCCCTGCTGCTGCTGTGTGGCGGTGATGATGCATAAACCCTGCCACCCTCTCTGTCTGGGTCACATCCCAGGACTCCCAGCTCAGGGGCAGGTCTGTGGGACGAGGGCCTAGTCCCCTTCTGAACCCAGTTCAGGACAAATTACAAAAACATGACATTCCAAATCATTAGAAGGATCTCTTGTCCAGTTGTGTAATTGCTCTGCATAGCACAGAATGACTTAATTCGAGTAAGCAATAAGCATATTTTGGCATTCATATTTCATGAAATGTGTTCTAGATTTAGAGAGAAAAAATATTTTAGTAGAAGCTACAAAAATATGAAGAACAGAGAACAACATAATAACCATTCTCTGCTTGACTTGATCAGTTACAGAAAAAATAAAGTCCTCTAATAATTTCTTTTTAAAGATATTTTTATTATGAAAATAAAAAATATTTAAAATATCTATTAACTCTATTCTAAATAAGACCAAAGACTCATTTGTACTCAATGAAGCAATATTTTATATTTATTGTTTGTATGCTTACTAACTTCCTTGACATTTCAGTATATAGCCATATAATGTCACAACCAGTCTCATAATTGGCATTATTAGCAAGTTTGTTTCACTCTTTGTTTACCCACAGCAAATAAAGATTAGCTAAATGTTTGCCCTCTTTAAGGTTATTAATGCTCATTAAAAGCTGAAGAAAAAGGTGCTACTACTAAAATGTTCTAACATTTCATTGCCATGATGTTCACAATAAACACTCATGAAATAAAAGCAAACAGACCGTCTCCTGTGTGACTGACCACATAATGATAACTGCGCTGTTTTGACAGTAGTCAGAATTGCTGCACGTTATGACCTGTTTTCTGATGTGTGGCTTAAAGTATATTTGAGTATATAAAATAAAGTGAATATTATGATTTGATGTTCAGGTAATATATATACTGTATATATATATATATATATATATATATATAT